ACGTAATTGTATATAGGAAACTATTATGGATAGATTTACTTGTAATTCTGAATAATCAATGAAAATCCGGAAGTTATATGTAAAGGTATTTTTAAAAATGAAACAAAATATTTCAATTTACTACTGTCTGCCTGTCCATCATTCCTATAGTGTAGTTAATTTAAAAATAAAGATTTCCATGAAAAATAGGTATTGAGTATTTTTTAACAAAATTGTTTTAATTATACATTTTAAGCCGCATTAAATAACATTTGACTTGCAATTTACAATTAATTAAAAATAATGTTTATTATGTGCTAATTAAGTAATATAACTCAAACAGAGAGATAAATAGTTTAACTCTACGTTCAATTATATTCTTATGTAAGTAGGTGGACTGATAGTTGAAGAGTTTAAAGATCGACTGTCTTAGTATAAAGGAAAACTATAAGTGGAATTATAAATATAGTATATTAAAACATTTTTGATGAAAACGTAATTTTGGACTACTTACAAAATGGCATTAATTAATAGGTTAATTAGTTTACTAATATGTTTGTCCTTAGTTTTGTCATAAATAATGTTTATTTCGAAGGTGTCTTAATGTCTGATTTATAAAGAACACCTGTTTCACATATGTTCATACTTATATGTCAAAGAATGACTGAAAAAAAGAAAATAGCCACCTTTCTCTAGACCTTAGTTGATATGTCGGCTACTTAGCATTTCGCTAACAGCCGGCACTATAGACGGGCTATATACCTATTATATATATACATAAATATGCACCAACTTGCCAAGACCTTCAGTCCACGTGCAATAACTAGCTGCTATTAGCACCGAGCGTATAATATGAGCGTGCTTTCTCCGCCTTTGTTATCTGTTCATGCCCCTATTATTTGCCGGATACAGGAAATCTTAAAGTGGCACACAAAATATGTATTAGATATAACCTCTGCATCAAAATTTTAAAACACGCAATTTTTCTTACGTTTTTCTTGTGCTCAGTCCAACCGAAACTAACTATTTTTTTATAGTTTTTTAACTATTACCATTACAGAAGTCCAATCAATATGACAATGTTACACTACACTATACACTACAGTTAAGCTTATATGCCTATATGAATTGATACTCCTTTGTCAGTCATAGATAACATCATCAGCTCATATGTGCCGACTTTTGAGTAATGGCCTCTTCTCAAACGGAGAAGTTTTCATCATTAATCACCTTGTGTCTTGAAGGCGGATATTATAAGTCCAGATTTCCTCGCATTTCCCTTTAGCGTTTGGCATTGCGGCCTAAATAAACTATAGAAAATACCTACATATGTATGTTTCCGAGATGTATACTAACTCGGAAAAAGTCATATTAGTCCTAGGTTCAGTTCTATACCTTCATGCGCGTAAAGCGAGCTCCTTTAGATCCAAAGCAAACCATCAAGCCATGATACCAGTGATTGATAACGTTCTGTCAATAACAATAAAACCGTATAAGCAGCTGCAGTACTATAACAACAAAAAATCTTTAATGCTTAAATCCCCAAATTCAATATAGGACCTTACCTTCAGATGTGTTGGATACTATCACCATTAAAGCAGTATATTTAAACGACGACTAAATTATTATTTTACAGCCTAGTCGATGCGTCATATATGCGTGATACATCTATGAACGTAATTTGTTTCTATTACAAATCCTGTTACAGTTTTTACGACAGAACATAGCTCTAGACGAGCGCAAAACATGATCACTTGGACATGTTAGATTGCATCATTGTGCTGTGTCAGTGTCTTGATCAGTCGAAAACTGGTACAAAATGGACCCCTACGCCACGCAGTCTGTTACCGCAGACATATTACATAATTAATGAAAAAATAGCACATGTATAACTGAATATATTAGTCTTAAAAGTCAATGACCCCCTATTGCATAATGTTTGCTCGAAAGTGCTGGCACAGCCTAGAGATTCATGTCACGTCACTTAGTATAGCAAATAAAATATATGAAAGCCCCCATAATTTTATGCAGAGTCATATAATACCTACTCACTTAGGAAGCGACGACAATTTTTAGTATGAAATTAAATTGGGACGGAGAAAAATGAATTTGATACTTCCGTCTTAGGATGACCATCTTCCATATAACAATACAGCCGGAAAGCGCTCAAGCGTTGCCGTTTAGTTCTAAAACAGTTTATGAGAGTTCTATGATTATTTTAACATCGACGACATATTATTAGGTGTTCTATCTTAGTTAAGGCTTTCTACTGATTAGCTATTTATTGTCAAAGAATCTTTGGTGAAAAAACAACGTCATTTAAATTTGTTTTATGAGAAAAAATATAAAAAGTGATCTTTACAAAACAAATACCAATTAACAAACTAGAAACACATTAACACAGCGTCTGCGCAATTTCATTCATTGAGATTACAATCTTTATGTTGGCGCTCACAGATGTCGTTTCGTGCGTTGATTTCTTCTGCTGTCGGTAGATGGCGGTACACGGTCGCCGAACCACGAAGTTCTTTAGGAAAACTTGCATCGTTCTCTTCTTTTTCATTACCAAATACAGTTTTCTGCATTCGAGTTATAAATGGAGTTACTTTGCATACTAAGAGTCGAATGCAACTGGTTTCTTCATCAGATCCGTGTTCTTGGATCAGTTCATCAATAGTGCCTGGAAGAGATTCGTTTTTAGCGGCTGCTATTAGTTCCTGAAGGTTTCTTGAATTTTTATTCAGGATCCATTCCATTGGGTCATCAGATCGGTAAGGTTTTGATGGCCGTCTGGGTCCCGACAAGAATGTAGAAATCTGAAATGCAAATAGTATTCTTATAAGCTTTTATGAACTCTACTGAATACAAGCTCACCCTATAAGGTCCATACATAGGTAACAGGATCTTTCAATAAAGGAACTATCGACTTACTATTGAATTATGTAATTGAATAAATTTTTAATTTTGAATGCGTAATTAAAATTTTTACCGGACTTACCATTTGTGCAACAAAGACTAAAGCGTTGACAGCTACTGCACTTATTTGGTTTGGCTGCAGCCCAAATAGGCGCACTATTTGACGCAGAGGTGTCAGGGGACTTTGCGTTTCATTGACGTCATAATCTGGGCCTTTGTCCTGATTATATGATTCGCTTTCACTATATGAAGTTTCCTCACTATGCACATCATTTTGAGGCCACCTTCTGTTGGTTGTTGGCGGTTTGTTAGCCGTTTGGAAAGCTCTAACCACAAATTCTGCTACTTTCAATGCCACAGACTCGGACCCTGGAGATAATTACCAAAAACATTTATCATTATCTAAGAAATTTCAAAGGCCCGGAATGCGGAGATAATAAACACTGTTGGACTCATTAAAATGTCTTTTTATACTATTTTGCCTAATATTAAGTATGGTGCAAGGGTAAACATACTATATTTGTAGAAACTTGTAAGTAATAAAAATAAATATATTCGACTGTCAAATATAAACTGGGATATATTAATCATCATGTATACATTACGGTCTTTTTTCTAGATTGAATAAATAACATCAAATACATTGGTACGAATAGAATCTAACATACCAAGTAAATTCTGCGCAAATTTCATTCCGCTGCTTAAGCGGTCCATTAATCCGTCATTTCTGTATTGTTCGTTAGCGCACACAACTTGGAAAGTAATGAGTAACACGCAAAGGACGCGTGGCGCCATCTTGAAGCACAGCACTAAACTACGAAGGCGTGTTGCGCGGGAGCTTGTTCTATGCTTCGGTTCTTACTGTAATAGGTGCGCAAACGGAATTGTCGTACTAGAGCATAACATTTTAGAATAATTGGTTGATAGTACAGGGTGTTTGTAAGACATAGGTATGAAAACATAACCCATAACCTATTCGTTGTTAAATAAATAATATTCTTTTCAGTATGGATCTTAAATTGTAGTATTATAATTTGTATCAATATTCATAGATGGCGCTGCTAGTATTGCGTTTTGAGATCTTGTTAAATGCTTTTCTTTTGATGTTTAATATGGAAATCGTATGAATGCACATTTTTTCGTAAAGCTTTCTTCAGTTTTACTTTATGTGTCATCGATACCGTAACGAAGGACACTGTAATCCCATATTTATTTATAGTCACAAGCGTATACTCATTAATTGGGTTAATTAATAAAGCTAGTAGGTACTTAGGCAATTAATAACACTTAGTTTAAAAAAATAAAAGAAAAACATTACTTTAAAAAATGGGTGGATGTAACTACTCACACAAATAATCAAGACGTTGATTTGGTCGGTTCATTAACATAAAGAACTATAAACTATACTGTGCTCAGCAATTTAATATGATTTGATTTTTTTATAATGCCTAATATTTTAATGTCGGTTACAAGGGTTTTTTATAACGCCGTAATACATTTTTTTCTCAATAGATATTAAATAAACGCACCCTGTAAGTATATTTTGCGACGGTTTGACAGACAGAGGACAATAGAAACGGAAATGTAGACTTGAACGTTTTGCTTTCTTATTTGTTACAAAATCAGAAAATAGGAACAATAAAATAGGTAATTTTCATATGTTAATTTAGTACCGGGTAAATTAAGGTAAAAATTAATAATATCTAATAATGCCTTTTATGCATCGCGTTGAAGTTTAGTAATTCGTATATCCTATATTTTATCTAGACTCGATGACTTTACATTTTGGAGGTCAATAATTGCTCCTGATTCTATACCATACATCATCATCGGATTAAAGGATTCTTTTTCGTCGTAATGGTTTTAGGGGTATGTTTTTTGCTGGCTCTAATCAGCGTTTGTAAATTAAGTGCGTTCTGTGCTCACCTAGTTTTAAGATGAAAACGCACTGATCTATTTATTGTGACCGCTAGGCGATTGTTGTGCTTCGCAGACCATAATGATCATACGTAAACGTTATGCTCAACTTTATTTCAACACCTAACATCTCATGAGTGACAACCTCCATCATGCTGATCTTCCTTATCATATATTCGACGCTTAAAATGTCGTCAGCCGACGTTACATCAGCTGATATGGAGTTTCTTAACGAGATGCCCTTGGATAAACTGCTCAGGCTAAAAGCGTCCTTGCAAGATCTTGTAACCGCTCAATATGACAATGTCACAACGACAACGCCATCCAACATACAAAGATTCGGGGCAGAAGCAATGGCCATTCAAGCGCCACCCGTCAAAAGAGGAGACTATGAAGAAGGACTGTACAAGAAAGAGGGATACAGCAAGATCAGCAACATATTTTCAATGTCTGTCACGACGCTGGCCTTTTTGGCTTTTGGAGGTTATTTGTTGTGCCTGATAGTTCAAGCTGTTAAATCTAAACAAACTTACAACGCCTCTATTCCTACCACACAGCCTACAACGTTCTTCGTGAGTGCTGGCATTAAGAAGAAACCGCAGACTCATTTCGCGTCATATGGAAGAAGAAGAAGAGACAATAGATTTAGAAGAAGTTTGAAAATGGTGGACCTGCCTCCGGAGCAATTGTTTACAGCGTTACTGCAAGTGTGTGAAGGGTACGCCAAGTGGAGTGAAGGAGAGATAGTATAGGATCTTTTTAAATGTGTTACGTGGTAAAGGTTGTGCGGTTTTTATATCAATATACCATATCTTAGTCAGTTTAATGTTGGCTTTCCAAAGTGCAAAGAAATACATAAGTGCCGAATAACACAAACTACGTGGGAAACATAGAAAATAGTACAAAAAGTCTTCAGTCTTCCAGGTACATTTAAGCTTGGAAGTTATTTATGTATTTCATCTTAATAAGACTCAGCACATAAAATCTATGAAGATATTATTATTTTTCACTAAAAAGCCGAGAGCTACAAAACGCTGTTTACATTAAAAGCAGGAAGCCAGATTGCCCAGCAATATACCTACAATCTGTAAACGTTTTCAAACTGTCAAATAATCACGCTAACACCTAATAATAGCTGCATCTTCGCTTTAAAGATTCTATTGTACATTCCACTTAAGTTAAAATTTGCTTTTTGATAATGTTATTGAAGAACCTGCTGTGACTTAACAGACTAGAGTTTAAATTCGAGTGTTGTTGGTGAGATTTTTATGATATTTTGGAATGTAGCGAGTGTTGGGTTTTGTTTGTAAGAGCTGGTTATGAGGGGGCTGCGTTCGGTCTGTCATCGCGTTCGTTCTAGTGTTTACAGGCCGGTACCCACATACACTGTTAGCGACGCGAAATAGCCGTGTAACGAGTCTTATAAAAATAAATTTTTAATTTATCTACCAGCCATAAAACTGTTTGTAATTTACAAAAAAACCCGGGTTTTATACTCATTAACATTGTTTAAAATTTTATTTTTATAATACAGATATTTCAAATACGTTTAATTAATGAGGTAAGATTTTTGTTATATCGCTTCTATTTTTTTAGATTTGTATTGTATTTGATAAATTATTTATTTTAATCAACAGAAAAGGAGTTAAGAGAAACTTAGTATGGATTCATTTACACACGTTTTTACCCATCTCTTTTTTATTAAACTTCAATATTGAGTGTTAAACGATTTTAACCAAAAACAGTAGCAGCTGCCAGTGTGTCGCTTGTCTGTGGGTCTTATAGATAAAGGCCCTAACACACCATATGCCCGCCACCAACAGAGATGGTGTAAACAAACTTACTTGCGTATCTCCGATAATTATCTTAAAGTTGTCGCTACTGCACTTGTTCTTAACATAAATTTTATTGCAGTGTAATAAAAATACTAATAAAATAAATACTGAGTAACCTTGTTGTTTTTTAAATGTGTGTTGCTTTTAAAACTGCTGATAGTGTAGGAGTAGGACCTACCTACTACCAACTAATTTTGTCTCATTTGGATTTTAGTTTTATTATCAACTACTTTCATTTTTATTTCTTAAAAAATTGCTCAACAATAGGACTTTACCTTTTTTATGAGATAAGTTGGGAAATTAGTAGACGGATTACCTTTTTTTTGTAAGGGGAAAACATCAAATTACTTCTCCGGGCGGGAGAGAGTTCTGAGGGTAAATCATCAAATGACTTCTCCTGCCCAGGGCCGGGCGGGGGAGAGTGTCAGACTCTTACTCACTAAAAACCCCCTTGTTCCTTCTCCTGCTCCGGGCCGAGATCGCGGTGCCTCATTGCACTTACCCCGCAACTCCGGCTGAACATCAGCCCTACGGGATCCGTCTGAGGTGGTCTATTGGCTTTTTGAGGTGCGCGCGGAACACTACGCGCCGTACGCTCGGGGGTAAACGTATTACCTGATGATAAGCAATCGGCGACGGATTGTGAATGCGTTGCTGGCCTTTTGATAATTAGATATTCGGATATTTAAGGATTGGGGACGGATGGAGGGATAGAAGTTACGAAGCGGAATACAATGCTATAGTTGTTTCACGTTGGTTTTCAGTGTGGCTGTGTATCACTCCGTCCGGTCGATCTGGCCCATTCGTTCCGAAGCTTGGCCCTCCTGTGTCAGATACGCCGCTTGTACCCCGTCAACTGACAATTAATTTAATCTTTTTTTGCAACTAGGAGTTTTGGGTGAAGATGCACTCAAAAATCGTAGTAATCATGAGATCATTATTATATTAAAGAATAGAGCATGTAACGAATGAAATGGTTTTATTCGATTCATGACTCCTGTATTTTGATTATTAGGTATATTATATTTAGGTATCATTTACTAAATTTCAGAAAAGATCCCTGAATACACTATTCCATGAAATTTTATTCTCATGTTAACATTTACATTTTAAACGCGTACATTACTAAGAAAAGTCTCTCATCAGATAATAAATAAAGGACGTTAATCAATGTGTTCTTACCACAGCATTGATTGAACAACTCCCGTTCGAACCGACTCTAGCATTTAATCTTATAAGAACAATAAATAAAATTGGCAATACTTCTAAACGACTTGTATAATATATGTAGCCAATGCTAGCCATATGTAGCGGACATGACTCATGGAAGCGTAAAGGAAGGTGTACTATTTAAAACAGTCATCATTTAAAAATAACTAAGTTTATTTATTATGTTTTCGGCTTACTCGTGTAATAATTTGACGAGATACTCGATTAGTTTCAAGCCATGCTAGAGGCCCATATTCATGAGCAGCATTCCGCGAATAGCGACACGGCGACTGTCGCGCTGCTAGTCGACTATCTCGTCAAATTCTCACGAAAGTTATAATAAAAATAACTAAGTTTGCTTTAGATAAAGCAGAAATGTTTCTTTTTCGAGGTGGCAAAATTATCAACTGCCCTACTGCCTCCACCCGCTCTGGGTAGGGTGAGTGGGAGAGTCAGACTCTTAATTTTTTCTATGTGATAAGACTGCAAACAAGGAGGTGGATTACCTGACGGTAAACAATCAGCGCCGCCCATGAACACCCGCACTGTGGAGCAGTTACGTGTGCGTTGCCGACCTTTTGAGATTTCGGGATTGGGTGAGGGGGAGGATTGGGCCGGATTACTTTCTAAAGACCAGCCGTTCCTTCTCCGTCTTCAAGCCGAAGCCGCAATCTCGTCTAAACATTGACTCTGTTGGGCTCAACCTGTAGTGGTCTAATGGCATTATGAGGCGCGCGCAGGTTTCGCCGCGGCGTACGTTGGTCTAGTCTAAAGTTGTAAAACTTCTGTTCAGCATAAAGTTTCCCATTCAGATTATTAAGTTTAGTTTTTTAAGGTCAGGAGGAGATTCTTTTAATGAGATATTGAAATAAAGCGAAGGGGGGAGGGGGGAAGAACCATGAAAAAACAACTTTCGGGTGATGTAGCGGCCATGAGCGGAACCCTAAGAAAAAAGCGGAGATATTATAATTCACAATTTAGTGTTTCACAGATTGGTCTAAAATCAAACGGGAGTTGAAATCTCAGAGATGGAGGTAGCTGGAAAGAACCCTACCTAGTACCTATTTTTTGTAGATGAATTAATTTTTTTTCACTGGAACTTATTAACGTTACGTTCATTTATTAATAACTGTACAGTGTACACACTTTGTACATACATATTATGCTCTACCTATATATGCTCTGTAGCCAATTTTAAAACAATATATAGGTACATAGTTATTAATAGGATGCCTATACAATAAATATTCCGATCATCATAGTCAATAACGAGAATAATCACTCGATACAGGTGTCAACATCAACTTTTAATAACATCTATATTCGATATATTTTATTCATAACGTGGATAATAAAATAAATACCCACTTAAAAGAATACACACAATAATATAGCATCGTGTTTACCAAATCAATGGCGGATTGAATAATTTAACATTTTATTTTAATGACTCGATTTATTCGTGCTAATATGACTCGGATAATCGAGTGTGTTTAGGTCAAAGGTTTACGATTGAGGACCCTCTAAACTAAATTGAATTTGACTCGGAATCGCATCGTAAAAGAACTCATCGTAAGGTTTTTACAATCGATTCGAATGTTATGGGGTATTCGGCAAAGAGCTGTTAAATAAAATATACCTAAGATGGCGACTGCACCTATCGATATGTTTCGCGTAATGTTGCCATCAATATAAATATTACAGTAGTGCATCTTTGAACTATGAACGAAACATAAAGCTCTTGATTTTTTTATGTGATAGGTCGGAAAACGAGCTGACGTATTACCTGATGATATAAGCAAGCAACTGGCAACACCCGTACGTAATACCAAAGGAGTTAGGAGTGCGCTGTCGACGAAAATTAAAAGGGCATATAAATATAATACTTTTCACTCTGCCGAATCTTTAAACAAATCTTTAAACCTTTAAATGCACTTATGGAAAAGCAATAAAGATATTAAGTATTAAGTATATCTTTTATTAAAAAATATTTATTATTCTTTCGTTTTCTTTTTTTAAATGTTAGTAAGTAAAGTAGGTATCACACAGTTTTACAAACATATAAATTCACATAAACATCACATCCAGTCCCAACACAATAATTTGTAGATCATACTAAGAGTAGTTCCACGGGAATGGAGGTGACCCGCGACACGTTGCACAGCTACTGGTTGCTCAGCCACTGCGCCAACCGTGCAGTACGTTTTACAATTGGAAAACTCATTTTTAGAAACACTCTAAAAACATAAAAGTTAACAAATCCGTACTAGCCAGACCATCCGAATCGAAGTTGCCATCAACATCTTTTCATACAAGCACTTATTGTAGAACAGTTGTATTTTATCCCCTTACAGGAATGACGTGCCTTTGCAAGACATTTCACAATCTATTGGCTATTACATAAAACGGAGTTAACGACCACGTTTATGTTATCGGCCGCCCACCTCAGGATCAGGAATGCGTCACCAATCAATAATACTTAACTTGATAGTTGTCGGACCCTTTGATTTGTGTTTATTGTTAATTGTCAACTGATCTAATGTCGAATAAAACTAAACCTTTATATGTATAATAAACACGTAACAAGATAAGTTTCTAATTAGATCGTAGACTGAGGTAGAATATATTATTTATTATGTGTTCCTATAGAAGTATAAATTGTAAAAATAATTGATCTATATTACTTCATTACTTCTGACATGTCAGAA